CTTCAGCACTGGATGAAAGACGGCAGTCCTGCAGACCAAGCACATCAACGGTACCAAGCATAATCCACTCATCCAAGGCCTTCCAAAGACCACAAGCACCCCCAACATTCAAAAAGACACAACGCAAGGGACCTGGATTGGGCTCGATGTCACCATCGGCGCACAGGTCCCGAAGCCACCGTCACTCGCGGTGAGACCCGAAAAACAAGTGAGCGGACTCAACACTAACGCCCCAAGCACTTGCCAATTTGACCTGATTAGCCGCCCCAAAATTCTGCCAACGCTTAATGGCAGCAGAAATGGGGGGGGTGAGGCCGCGACAAGGATTTTTCCAAGGAGCCCTTGAGCCTTTGGCCGCCATGCGACAACGAGAGCAAGTGTAAAAAGAATCGCCACCGCGAGCACGCTTGCCACGACTAGGGACAAGACTCCAATCGACATCAACCAAGACTAAAGCATGCTGATTGGGAAACCAATCGATCTTAGATCGAACCACTTCCTGCTTCTGCCGAGCCTTAGCGGCCCACTTTGCCCGGCCATCGCGGATCAAAGGTTGAGAAGCAGGATCCTTTTTGAACTGGTTCCAACGCGCCTTAGCAATAGTCTTCAACGACACCCGACGTTTTTTTGTGCTTCGTCTTATAGTGATGAACCTTGGCTCTGTCAAGCGACGACCGGCTCATAGTGCCCAGCCCAGCAGAGCAAAAGGGACAGGTCCAAGCACGCTGATCCATAGGGATCGCAGCAGAAGCCTCCACAACCGTCGACTGGCGCAAACCATCCAAGCCAAGTTTCCGCTTTTTATGATTTCTCTCAAGGTGATTGCTGCGCTTTCGACGCAGCAGGGCACGATTATCAGCCCGAATCTCGAGCGAACACCAACGGCAAGTCCAAACTTCAAGGTCAGAACCAACACCACGCGAACCCTTGCAAGGGGTACTCGACGAAGACGACCCAACGTACGAAGCCGGTAAGGACTTAAAAGATTTATCAACAGTGGCCCCAGAGGACCTGCGAGACTGGGGCGTCTCCGTCGGAAGCCACTGTTTGCCCACCTTTCTAGTCAAACTAGGAGTTTCAGGTGGCAACCAAAAGCCGGAGCCCTCAGATTTACCAGCACCACGCAGCACGGACTGAGAAGCCAACAACTGCTCCTCAGCTTGCAAAGCATGCAGCCAAGCAACGGGGATATCATCAACACGCTTTGGACGCAACAAGATGTAATGTTCCTCCCCTGGCGTAGACGACAATCCCAAAATGATGGGAGCAACCTCACCGGACGACGTGCCAAACGCAGTCGGGAGGCCCCAAGCATCTCCAACACGCTGAACAACAATCACCTTCAAACCGAGCCGCCGGCTCGCGGCTTTCAAAGTTAACCCACAAATCCAACGAGAAGGACGCTTCACGCTCTCAACCCAAGAATTCCAATCAAGCGCAACCGGGCCACCTTCCATCTTCTCAGATGACTTATCATCAACTTGCCAAAAGGGGCGATAATCAGCAGCATGCTTATTCAAATGATGCGCAATCTGCGTTCTCAAAGTGATGCCCATGCTTCGTGCCTTTGGCAACAAATCACCAAGGACGCCACCACGGCTCAACGCAGCACCAACCGCAAGACAATTAAAGCCACATGCACCAAGCGCTCCACAATCAACCTCATCGAACCGATCATCGAATGCAAGCTTCTGGGGACTGGGGCCAACGGCCGCTTTCTTCTTCGGACGCTGATCTGACGGAGAAGCAGCCAACCTTTTAGAAGCCTCCTCCGATTCCATAGCTTCATCAGGATCGTCAACTTGTGTGTCCACTGTATCCCCACCAGAAGCACCAACAACAGAAGAATCACGCGCAACGTCCATCTTCCGCGTCCGATGCGCCACCGGATGCAAACCAATCTTTTTAGATTGACGTTCTCCGTTTGGTCGAGGAGAGGCGCGCTCCAAAGTCAACAATGTAGCACCAACGCGAATACCGGCAACGGCACCGATCGTAGGGGCACAAGCACGAATCAGCCAAGGTCGAATTTTCTTCGTCGGAAGAGCCAACACTTCGACATCAAGCCAACCAGCATCACTCAGGACCTGCAAGAGGTCCTCTTCAGTCCAACTCAAAGGCACAGCCTTAACCCGCCACGCACCAACAACTGGTTTGCCAGTGGCGGCGGAACGAACCACACCCAAGCAACTGCCGCCACCACTCCGCCAAGCGATAACACTCTTAATGCTTTTAGCTTTGTCGCTCACTAGGCGTAAATAATGGCAAGCATCGTGAGATTCACGAGGTTCCCAATCAACCACGGGACGCACAGCAGATTCAGCAGCCAAGCGATGAACAAATACGCCCGCCTTCCCAGAAAGACAAGTCACTTTATCCACCTCAGTGGACAACACCTTAAGGTAACCAACCAAGAAGACTTCGAAATCGCCTGAACGATTCTTTTCCTTGGTCTCAACCCAGCCATAGCTCGAATGGAAGGGAATGTCACCAAGCCACTCTTTCACCAACGCAACTGGTTTGGACTTCCAAGCATGCCACTGATCCTTGGCCAAGAACTGCATTGGCACATGCACACGCATCGTGGCCAATGCCTTCTGAACCGGAACGGATTTCACTTCCTTGACCAATGCGGACGGCAAATCCGGCAAACCGGACCCCAGCGCAACACAACCAAGCTTCCTAAACACCACCTTGCGCTCACCTGACACGACGGGCAAAGTGACCTCGACAACTTTGGGCGGCAACGGCTCCAAAGGCACGTCAACAAGCAACGCAAACTTAAGATCGAGCTTATGCGCTTCAGCAAGATCACGAGCTTCAAGAGCTCGTTCCAACGAGGGAGCCACCGAGATGTTTCCAACCGGTTTCTCTCCAGCTTCAAGTGATCGCTGCACCGATGCAAAATCCTGCACAGCATTTGGCTCAAAACAAGGCTTCGCCAACACCAATTGATCTTTGGCACCCTTCTTAGCAACATCGGCCCAAGTCTTAGACTTGGGGGGACCATCATCAACAGGGCTGGGAGCAGGAGTCTTGACAGCACCCTTAGGGTGTTTAATTTGCGACAAGAAACCTTCCAACCGCTTGACCAACTCAGAAGGGTGAGAACGAATACCTGCAACGACTTTCTCAAAAGCGGTCAGATCGCCAGAAGAGGGAGAAGAGGCAGATTGTTTCACTTCTTTCTTTTTCTTCTTTTTCGCCCGTTTGCCCTTAGCGACAACACCAGAAGGGCCCGTAAGTTGCTGCACAGCAGCAACCAGGGCCTGAAGAAGCAAGTTCGGATCCTGTTTAGTTCGACGTTTACGACCCTGAGGGCCACTACCGCCACCACCACGAAACAAAGAATTCAAACAAGGCAGCTGTGCACGACTACAGTCAGTACGCAACCCAGGCTCAGACGGAGACAAGGAACTCCCGGAGTAAAGCACCAGCCTCACCCAAGGAGCGCCAAAGCCAACGAGCAGCAACAGAAGCGTGTGCACACTATACCACACAAAGCTCAAGCCTAAACACCGACCCAGCCGACGCCAAAGACCACACGGAGGTCGTCGACGACGGGCCTTTTTCCTGACTTTGCCCACAAATCGACACTTGCCTCGACACCACCCAGGAAAGCGGATGGCACCGCAAAGGTGACCAAGAGAGAGCAAGAGGAGACTCACCAGAAATCTCATCCACAGCAGAGGGAATCCGAACTGATAGCAAATCACGTTGTCGCTTAGCCAGCTCAAGCCCGCAATGACCTCCCAGAACTTAGCACCAATCTGGTTGCCGCACTGGCCTCCCTGGACGTGCACGAGCTCACGCATGGCTGAAAACGAAGGCGAAACAGCTGCAGCTCAGAGGGTAGTAATTTGAGGGCTTGAGGGATGACCTCATGATCTCATCATGGATCGCATGACACATGTTTGTGGTGTTGATCGCTGAGGCCACGAGATGCAAGGTACCCCGTTTTGCCCTACTGGCTTGATAGCACAGAGCTTAATGGCTGGGATCAGCAGTCACAGACACTTGGAGGGACAGTTGGTAGATGTTCACATGATGTTCACACCTTGCCAATCCGTGCTGCAGAGCCGCTGCTGTTTGTGAATTGCCAATGTGCACAGACGTTAGATTCAATAGGGTTCACTCATGTTTCCCTCCAGATATTTGGCAGACACTTCACACTTTGTATTTGCATGTATCTGCAAACGTATAGAGTCGATTGCCTTTTCTTTGTGCATTTCGTGGTGCCGATGTTGCGTGACTTTTCAGCTACTTTGCACATGACATGTTTTTTCTCCGAGGAATGGCTACTTCACGCGCTTCTTGGCAAACATGTTTTAGTATTTTGAAGCCATCGAGATGAATCCATGACTGAGGCATTGTCCTGCTGGGCATGCTAGGTGTCGATTGATGATTGACTTGTGAGTGGCCGAGTGTCTCCACAACCTCCCCTCCGAACCATCCAAGCCTGTCCTGGAGGTGGACACTTTGGAGATGATTTCAGGAGTACAGGGAAGGCGTGTAGTATTTGCATTTGATTATGGCTGCTGGAAATGAAGACCAAAAGTAGCAGTGACGGCGCCATGCAATCCTGAAGGCTGAGCCCTTTTTGCCTACCAGTCCCATGCTCCTGAAGAGCCCATACACAGGACAAGTGACTAGAGTATGAGCTTTCGCAGTTGCATGCACTGCATGTCTTGGACCATGTCCATCAGTGGACAGGAGACTTCTCACCTACATCGGGGCCGGTCGTCAGTGACATGCCGGACGACTTAGATCTGGGCTACTCCCCAGCATTCTTGGCAGCCACAGATTTCATCAAGGAGACAGCCAAGCTTGAGAGAAATATATGAATATATGTAGTATACATATATATAGTCCTTGAATATTGAGCACAAGATTGAGGTTGTTGATATAATACTGTCATTATCACTTTTTACTTAGACATGGAGTACACGGTACACGCGGGGTCAAGCACGCAAGAGTGTGATTGAGTGCAGGAAGTGGCCATGTCAATGCCTGAGAGCTACCCAGACAAAGTGAGTGAAGAGGCTCGAGAAAGCTGCAAAAGTGGTTGTCAAAACAGGGTTGCATAGGTACTCAGTGTCACCCCATGGGATAGGACATTTGGCACACCGCTACAAAAGACGGAGCAAGTTTGATAAACACCTGTGAGGTGGGATTGGTGCCTATTGCCAACGGAATCATCATTGACAACCTGGCATCTGGCCAGAACATTGAGCAGGTGGCGTTGGACTCCTATCACCTAAAATAGAAGAAAGAAGGTGGTGCGCTTGAGAATGCATGCCAATTGGTGCACTAGCGTGAAGATTTTGATAGGCAAGCAAACCCTTTGTGTTTTTTGTGAATTTTGCACAGCAAGAGCGGCAGGTTTGGAGCCTGATGTACATGGTTCGGGACATTCTGGACCTCCATGGTGTAGGAGGTCAAGGTGTTCGAGCATCTGAAGAGTTTCCAGGCAGGATGCAGGCTGGACCATTCCGGTCAAATGCCTACGGTTTCCAGGCAAGGGCAGCGGCTTTATCGCGGTCCCAGATGTAGACATCAGCAGCTGGGATCGACAGCCACTGAAGTGCCTGGACAGATCTTCAGAGTGGAATCATATGCGCGTCCTCAAAGTGAATCCCTGTCCTGTGATTCTTCCCGTGGGCCTTTGCTCCCAGGCGCTTAGCAGCCATGGCTCCAGGAAGCACTTTGAAAGTCATGAAAGATGGCAAGGTGGAGCGGGAGTTCCGTCTCGAAGTGCCGCCTCGGGTCTACAACTTCAAGGAGGGCAACACGCGCAGGCATGCCTCAAAGAGCCCTAAAGACACTAGTACATCGAAAGATCCCCAAGGGCAAACCAACGCTCGTTGGGACAGCCGTTTGACTCCCTGGAAGTACAGTCATTTGGGAAGTCCTGCTGGAAAGTCGTATGTCCATATGCAACCCAACTATTTTCATTCCTTGTGAAAGTGGCAACGCTGCCAAATGCACGACTAACATCAATACTTGAGCTCTTTCTTGTTTTGAGGTTTGAGTCGCCGTTGGTGGGTTGGATGTCACATGGTGACAAATCTGCAGGACATCTCCTGCAAGAACACTGCTTGTGTGTCCCATCCGCAGAATATGCAGCACGAAGTGGAGCCCTTCTTTGAGCGCTGCCGGCAATGCGGCTTGGGTCGCACTTTGACAAGCTTGCCTTTGCAGGAGAAGCATTGTCGGGTGGCATGTGTGAAAAAGAGTTGGAAAGGTCACTAACCATATCTAACCATTACAGTACAAGGTTTCGATTCGCCGGTTGACTTGCAGTTGTTTGGCTTGCCGGCTGGCTCCACCGAGCAGTTTCTAGTCGAGAAGCGCTCAAAGCAAAGAGTCACATGCAAAGCATACGCACATATTGATATGGCCACCCAAGACAACCCACAAAGGCATCGCTTCTAGGTTGGAGGCCATCGCTATTAGGTTGGAGGCCATCGCTACTAACCAAAGACTTCCTCCACGAAGCCATTTTGCCCAGGTCGCCCAGCTGTGAGTTCGCAGCAGTTTGTTTCCACGAGCCGGCCAGGTGCAGGGGAAGAGCAAAAGGATGTGATGGCGTTTAACTGCAAGCCCTTCGGCTTGAGCTGAGATTCTCAGCAGCCGATTTTGCTGAGCATATTATAGCATATTATGTTTTCATTTGTCCTTTCCATACGACTGTGAATCTGAGGTACTGCGAGACCCAGCACAATTTTTGGGAGATTTGGAATTACGAGTTCCACCGCCCGACAGAGACCACCATTTGAGGAAGCTGATTCGGGTTGTTGGTCCTAGGTTGAGGCAGTGGGGACCTTGTCTCCATTTCAACCCTAGCTCAGGGAGTTTTTGCCGTCTCGGCCCACTCTTGTCCAGTGGCAAATCTCTCTTTCATTCTCTTTCGCCCTTTGTTATCAGGAGTCAATTTTCAAACTGTTGTACAAGAGATGTCGCACCAGAAGGAGGGCGAGTTTGGATTCATGGCCAGGGTGGATGCAACACAGGTGAGCTATGTGAATTTGGTACAAGGATAGGGTAAAGCATTGCACTATGTATATATGACACATGTATAGAAACAGAAGCCTGGTTGGCATCCACCTGCCATGATGCAGTGTCCATAGTTGTTGCTTTTAGGGGGAACCTCACAACGCAGAGGCAAGACCATCAACACAGAGAGACAGAAAGGACACTGATTCCAACAAGGACTGGTGTGAGGCAATGAGAGCGTGTGCGTATGTCCGCCATGTTTGCAACATTGCTTCCTAGCTGCAGAGTGTTGATGGTCTTCTCGAGATGGGGCTTTAGATTGCAGTCTGTGAGACTGCGAGGGCCATGGAGCGGTTCCAGCGCAAAACAAGGGTGGGCACGGCAGAGGCACTTGTTATACAATCAGGTGATCCTGGATCACTAGAAACACACTTCACTGGACTCGAAGCTTGAGAGAAGCGATTGGGTCGAACTCCTGCAAGGTGGAACCTCCTCGTTGGAGCAAGTGCATTCCAGTGCCTTTGAATGGGCCGCGCTTCGCCAGGCAGCACTTTGCCTGGTCTGTGCCTGTATTAAGACGACCGATTTGGAGAGATTCTGTGGGTGCATGCATGTTGAATGCCTTGTAGCTCATGTTTGGATTGAGCTGGTCCTTTTGGGAGAATAAATGGCCCCAGGGTCGGCAGATCAGAACTCTACGACTACAAAGTGCTGTAAGGATGTACGACAGCTGAATGTTCCTGTCAGGTGGAAGGTTTTGGACAAGGTGTCCGGGAAGGATCTTGCTCATTTAAGCTGATAGGATCATTCCACAGCATCTTCGGATTTGGGAAGGCCATGGGCCAAGTCCAAAATTCGCATGAGTTGGGCCTCGGGGCCTCCATCATCAGCCAGGCGATGCCAGGCGAATGTGTTTGATAGCTTCAGGGATTGAAAGAGTTGCTTCCACGGCAGGCTCCTTTACGATGTGCATGGCTACGAGATTTTCCAACTTGGTCTCTTCAACTCGGATCCGCATGCTGGCAATGTGAGCGCCTGAAAGTCCTGTTCATAAGTCATACGGGGGGCAGTTCCCCTCCATCAACCTACATATTTCAATTTTGCAATTACTTGTCCCAGCCGAGTGTGCGTCTTGTCGGAAACTCTGCCACGGTGGGGGGTCCACTCTTTCCCGCAAGGTCTTCATGATGCCAGATGGCAAGCTCGGGCTTATCGATTACGGGGCCTGTATGAGGCTGCCTGCGCACATCAGGGCGTAATACAAAGACCCTAGACTGGCTTCATTTCGAACTTTTTGGGACGTTTTCCATTGCATCATATTGCATCGCTGTCCAGTTGCCATCAATCCAGCAGAGAGAAAGTGCGAGGCAGACAGGAAGGCTCATGGCCACGTTTTCTCTTTCTGAACCGCTTAAGCGGCTCAAGCTTTTAGCAAAGTCTATCACCTTCTAGCTGCTGCGACGCAACCATGAGGCTCACCGCTACGCAGCGAACTTGTATCGCCAAGTTGCTGATCGCCGACGCCTAAGTTGCACGGCAATTGACAATGGGAGATCGGTCAACTCTTCGAGGAGCGACGGGAGATCCGGGTGGTTCCGCCAGGGAAATGCTTAATGCTTGTGCGGTGGAAGGGCTTGCTCACTGATGCAATGAGGCCATTGCAGACGAAGACGACGAAGCAGTGCGCCTATGTTGGGTTAGTAGATATCAATTCTGAGGTTTATGATTCATGCACACCGCCCGGCGTGTTGGCGGAACAAGCAGGGCGGGGTAGGTTGGTTTCAATGAAACACTTTGCGCTCTGCTAACTAGGATCGGCAGAACTTATCGTTATGCCGGCGGTTATGCCCACAGGTCAAGCCTGTGACAACATGGGGCACGCATGTCCTGCCAAACTGCATCAAACTGTGAGCCTTTGCGGCTCAGACTCAGCATTGTCATCCCGAATTTGGCCCTGACGCGTATGGGAAATTCCTGTACGAACGTTTGCTATGCGCCTCAGTCTGCAAGGTCGGGTGTTGAAGTCCACTGATGCATTCATCACAGTTGCCATTGCTGATTACAATGATTACAATGGGTTTCGTGGAGTTGGCATGCACCACTTGCCACGCCAAGGTCGTAGAGGATGCCTCTAGCCAGCATGTAGATCTCAAATGATCTCAACCTTAGATTAGTGTGACAGAAGAGCCGGAAGATACAGAGCACAGGTGTGCCTTTGGGCATCACTAAGTTTGTTATTTTGCTCAGTATGTCACGTCCTTAAACAGTTTTCATTTTGTAAGTATTTTTTTAACTCAATGCGAAGGATGTCCGAGGCATCGGCTTCTGCCTCATTGTGCTAAAGGTTTTTGTCGTGGGAGTTGGGGCCACTGTTGAGTGTTGAGCGTGTGCAGTACATCAGCGGAAATCATACCGCGAACATCTGTGGAAGCAGATGTGCTGCAATTACACCTTTGATCTCTGCTTTTGAGGCATCGCTGTTGCCCTTTGGCTGCATGATCCTGTCGTCTTGAAAGCTGTTGGACTCTAGACTCTTTTTGACGCTGGGGTCTATTTTTTTTTTTTTAATACGATGCCGCTTATATAAAGACTTAGACGTTCCAGGTAGCCTTCAAGCCTCCTTGTTTGAGGCAGAAGGGAGTGAAACTCACGTTCTTGACAGACGAATCTTGGCCAGCATGCAGACGATCTCATGAGTTGAGTTTACCCTTGCGTTGCATGGCCAAAGAAAACTCCTTCGTCTCCGACCTTAGTCGACTGAAACTCCGGCAAAGCTCAGGAAGGAAAAGAAGTTGACGTGGTCTTCCGAAAGGCACCTCTGGGCTTCAGACTAGCTCACAAGCAAGCGCCGCTCAAGGCACTCCGCAGCAATGCTGCCGGGTCGTTTTGAAGCAACATTGCGCAACATAACATAACATAACATACAGAACAATTTGGCAACAATGTTTCAACATGTTCTTCCTAAAAAGCCAGGAACCAAAGCTTGAACAAGCTCACCCTCGCCGCCTTTAGGGCGGTGGGGAGCTTCCTTGAAGAAGCGTGAGCTATCCTGTGTCCTACCTAGATAGAAGCTTACCTCCTTACTTAATTAAGTAGGCAGCAACTAATTAATTAAGTAGGGGCGGTTTGCCAGAAAGCACACTATTTTTTTTTGACGTTTCACGGTCCCGGCCGAGTTTTCGGGTTCACTCATGCTTTGCATGTGTGGTAGGTGGCCAACATCAATGACAAAGGCTGCGTGGTGGACGATAACTTGGACGTTCGTGCAGGATGGATTCTCACCGTCCTTGCCTCAGGTAGTTAGGATGGGTGGCGAGAGGTTAAATTGTCGGGAAGTTCCGCACCTAGCAGAGCTCTGACATTTTTTGGCGTGATGGGCCAATCCATAAGGCAGATTGAGAAAGATGCGGCGCGAAGCCCTGCCAAGCCACGATGAATGATCCACGTTGTGGCTGAGGCAGTGAATGGAAAGTCCCTGACGACGTGCCACCAGAAGGTGGGGGCTCAGATGATCAAAGATGCCATTAAGGACCGTGATTCGCGGTAGTCGGGCAATTGTTTCAATGAGTTGGACCGGCAGAGTAAGACACACGTGTTGTCATCATGCAGCATGGATAGAACATGGAGCGATGATTTGGCTTTGTGCAGATCTTTGTGAATCCGTCCTGTGCTGTAGATTGATTTGACGGTTGGACCCGGAGGAGACCTTTGGTGAGGGTGAAGGGCTAAAGGAGGATTGAGGGTCGCTGCAGCGACGTGCTGATCGGCAGGGAAGCCGTGCAGCGAGCTGGGGCGATTCAGCAGGGGCGACTGAGGCCGTGAGAGCCTAGGTTTGAATCCGCTTAAAGTGGATGTCATTTTTCGCGGGCGGTGATCCCCAGGTAGAATATATTGAAATGAAAGCATAAACAAAGCACACTTGTACGGTAGATTAATGTCCAAATTTATGCACATGATATCTCCAAGGTTCAAGACACACTCGAATAACATCTTCGAAAAGCATCCTGGCTGCTGGCCACCACGGCGTGCTTGGACGATGTTGGCGGAATATGCGACCATCACAGCCACGCAGTTCCCAACCTTAGTTGTTGAATCTCCAAGAGCCGGCTGTCCATGTGGGGAGCCCCCTACAAAAGGGAGCACCTCCAACTGA